TTTATTGGTTTCACTGCAAATTTTTTTTATAGTCAACATGCAAAACCCAGCACCCGCAATTGAATCCTACAAAGTGAACAAAAGTTTCTCCATTATATATCTCAGAGAATGGGGGCAATCAGATTTTTTTCAACACCTTCATACTTATGTGTATACCGCTTACCGTGTGATAGTGCAGGGTCAAAATTTCTGATCACATAAAAATCAAACTGAATGGCAAAGCAGCGAAATTAATGAATTAAGCAACAAACAAAGAATTATATGGATTTTTTTAAGTGTTATTCACAAGTGAATATTCATTGGTTTTACTGAAAATTGTTTCTCTTGTCAACATGCAAAATCCAGCACTCGCAATTGAATCTTACAAACTGAATGGAATTTTCTCAATTATGCTAGAGAATGACGGCGATCAGATTTTCCCAACACCTTTATACTTTCGTGTATACCGCTTACCATATGGTAGTGCAGGGTCGCAAAAATTTGATCACGTTATACATCAAAAACAAACTTAAAGGCAAATCAGCGAAATTAATGAATTCTTGCAACCCTTCAACTTCTAAAGAAATCAAATTATTGCTATAGGGTATAACTATTTTGCAGGTTTGCAGGTCAGCAAATTGTTCTCAGTAGACAGTGCTCTCGTAATCATGTAGGAGGACAGACATTTTTGCAGGTCGGGTCTACCAGACATGAATCTCGACCAGGTTAATCATTTTAGACAGAAAAAACTTCGAACCCCCACCCTTTCAGTATGGAAAAATTCCACATTCCTCATTAAATTGAAAATAAACCTTGCAGGTCGGCAGAAATTCTTGCAGGTCGGGTATGCCAAACATGAATCTCGACCAGGTTAATCATTTTCGACAAAAACAAATTTCAACTCCCACCCTTTGAGTATGGAAAAATTCCACATTCCTCATTAAATTGAAAATAAACCTTGCAGGTCGGCAGAAATTCTTGCAGGTCGGGTATGCCAAACATGAATCTCGACCGGGCATACCCGACCTGCAAGAATTTTTGCCGACCTGTAAGGTTTATTTTCAATTTAATGAGGAATGTGGAATTTTTCCATACTCGAAGGGTGGAGGCTGAAATTTTTTTTGTCGAAAATGATTAACCTGGTCGAGATTCATGTTTGGCATACCCGACCTGCAAGAATTTCCGCCGACCTGCAAGGTTTATTTCCAATTTAATGAGGAATGTGGAATTTTTCCATACTCAAAGGGTAGGGTTGAAATTTTTTTTGTCGAAAATTATAAACCTGGTCGAGATTCATGTTTGGCATACCCGACCTGCAAGAATTTCTGCCGACCTGCAAGGTTTATTTTCAATTTAATGAGGAATGTGAAATTTTTCCATACTCAAAGGGTGGAGGTTGACATTTTTTTTTGTGGAAAATGATTAACCTGGTCGAGATTCATGTTTGGCATACTCGACCTGCAAGAATTTCTGCCGACCTTCAAAATGTATTTCCACTTTTTTGAGAATTGTGAAATTTTTGGGTGGGGGTTGGAAATTGTTTTTGTCGAAAATGAATAACCTGGTCGAGATTCATGTTTGGCATACCCGACCTTCAAGAATTTCTGCCGACCTGCAAGGTTTATTTTATATTTTCAATTTAATGAGGAATGTGGAATTTTTCCATACTGAAAGGGTGGGGGTTCGAAGTTTTTTCTGTCTAAAATGATTAACCTGGTCGAGATTCATGTCTGGTAGACCCGACCTGCAAAAATGTCTGTCCTCCTACATGATTACGAGAGCACTGTCTACTGAGAACAATTTGCTGACCTGCAAACCTGCAAAATAGTTATACCCTATAGGTATAAAGGGTGGAGGTTGAAATTTTTTTTGTCGAAAATGATTAACCTGGTTGAGATTCATATTTGGCATACCCGACCTGCAAGAATTTCTGCCGACCTGCAAGGTTTATTCTCAATTTAATGAGGAATGTGGAATTTTTCCATACTCAAAGGGTGGGGGTTGAAATTTTTTTTGTCGAAAATGATCAACCTGGTCTAGATTCATGTTTGGCATAACCGACCTGCAAGAATTTCTGCCGACCTGCAAGGTTTATTTTCAATTTAATGAGAAATGTGGAATTTTTCCACCCTTTAAAGGGTGGGGGTTCGAAGTTTTTTCTGTCTAAAATGATTAACCTGGTCAAGTTTTAAGTCTGGTAGACCCGACCTGCAAAAATGTCTGTCCTCCTACGAGATTACGAGACCACTGTCTACTGAGAACAATTTGCTGACCTGCAGACCTGCAAAATAGTTAAACCCTTCCTATATCAATATTTTGGTAATTTTCAGTATCAAGCTTCTTTCGAACGTTGAAAAATGAACAAAAATTCTAATTCCGGCCAGCACAGAAACCAAACCCTCAAAACGAAAGTTTGCAATATCCTTTAATGACAGAGGCACATTCGTGTGAAAGAAAATCTTCAAAACCAAACAAATTTTTCACACAATTTCTGAAGGCAAAATTTCAAACAGAATTATTGAAGACAAAGTTTTTGGCAAAGTTTTCAAATACGAAACCCCCAAAAGCTAAACTACAGAGCAAGTCAACCAACAACACGAAATCAAAATTTGAAATTTTGTCGTATCACCGGAGGTGATACCCAAATCAATAAGGATCATGAGCTATTCAACCCAATCAACAAATACGCAGAGAGCACACCATCTCAACCAAGAGATCAATAATTACACAGATCATTATAAAAAAAAATTGAAAATTAGAAATTCGGGAATACTCAAATGATACAAAAGATTGTAGAGAAATCCGAACTAGAGTAGAATCACTCATTTTCGACATACGGTATTTCACACAAATAACCCCATTTTATTTTTAATACTGTGATGATCTGGTCAAATCGATTCTGAAGATATATATATCTTGCTATTTATTCACCTTCTGAGTTGTTTC